GGGCGCCTCCTCCTGGCGGCACTGGAGCTGCTAGTGTTGCTGTGGGCGCGGGGGGCCCGGGGCCAGGACGACCCCCAGGGTGGGGCGATCCTGGGCATGAGGCTGGCGAGCTGCAACAAATCGTGTGGGATGAACCCCGATGGCATCATCTACGTGTCCGAGGGCAGCACGGTGAACTTAAGGCTGTACGGTCAGAGGCTGGGCGCGTTCTCCAGCAACCTGATCTCCTTCACCGAGGTGGACAACTACGAGAGCACCCACAGCTCCTCCAGTTGCCCCGAGCTCACGAAGGACCTGGTCGTCCAGCATCTGGTGAATGTGAGCCGCGGGAACACGTCCGGGATGCTGGTGGTGCTTACCAAGTTCCTCCGGAGGAGCGAGAACATGAAGCTGTATGCTCTGTGCACCCGGGCCGGGTTGGACAGGCCTTGGCGGAGGTGGACAGACAAGGACTCTCTGCTCTTCATGGTGGAGGAGGCTAGGAAGTTCCTGCCCCTCTGGCTGCACATCCTCCTCATTATGGTGCTGCTGGTGCTGTCGGGCATATTTTCGGGTCTCAACCTGGGCCTCATGGCCCTGGACCCCATGGAGCTGCGAATTGTGCAGAACTGTGGCACTGAGACGGAGAGGCGCTATGCCCGCAAAATTGAGCCCATCCGGCGCAAGGGCAACTACCTGCTCTGCTCGCTGCTCTTGGGAAACGTGCTGGTCAACACCTCCCTCACTATCCTTCTGGACAACCTCATTGGGTCTGGACTTATGGCAGTGGCCTCCTCCACCATTTGCATTGTCATCTTTGGGGAGATCGTACCTCAGGCCCTGTGCTCCCGACATGGGCTGGCTGTGGGAGCCAACACTATCGTTCTTACCAAATTCTTCATGCTCCTTACCTTCCCCCTCAGTTTCCCCATCAGCAAGCTCCTGGACGTTGTTCTGGGCCAGGAGATTCGCACTGTTTACAATCGGGAGAAGCTGATGGAAATGTTGAAGGTGACAGAGCCCTATAATGACCTCGTGAAAGAGGAGTTAAATATGATCCAGGGTGCCCTGGAACTACGGACCAAAACGGTGGAGGACATCATGACCCAGCTCCACGACTGCTTCATGATCCGCAATGATGCCATCCTGGACTTCAACACCATGTCAGAGATTATGGAAAGCGGCTATACCCGCATCCCTGTGTTTGAAGATGAGCAGTCCAATATCGTAGATATTCTCTATGTCAAAGACTTGGCCTTTGTGGATCCTGATGACTGCACCCCACTCAAGACCATTACCCGCTTCTACAACCACCCAGTGCACTTTGTCTTCCATGACACCAAGTTGGATGCCATGCTGGAAGAGTTCAAGAAGGGTAAGGCCTGGTGTGGTTCCCCCAGTTACTTTCTGTGATGCCTCTCCGCTCTGCCTGTTTTGTGTCTGCTGGGCATAGTGTTGTGTGCTCCTGACTTTGTGCCTACCCTTACTTAATACTCCCTATGCCTCCAAGATGAACAGTATTTGGTGCAGAAAAAAAAAAACAACAACTCCTTAAGCTTTTGCTGTCTGCCAGGTACAGTGCTCTGTATTTTAGATGAATCAAAGCAAAAAGTAAGACACACTTGGTTCTCTTGGAGGAATAGAGCAAGGCTTCGGGGAACTATAGAAGCAGGACTGAGTACGGCAAATGCTTTCAAGGAGGTCAACGCCGGGGCATGGAGACTGAAATTAGGAACGTGCAGAACTGATAGGGCTGGGGTGGATAGGGGACAGGGAACTGGGAAGACCAGCACCAGGGAGCGGGCCTTGGAAGAGAGCCGTTAAAAGGTAGGAAGACTGGTGCTTTCAGCAGAGGAAACTCCACAAGCAAAGAACCTGAGTGGGGAGCAAAGGGTGTGCGTTGTGGCCTACTAGGTGGCCCTTTTCAGTTGAGTGAGGGATCTATCTATGGCTGGTGGGGCTGTGTTATTTGGGGCCCTGTGGTATTGAACCTGAAAATCAGGACAGTACATTTGCTTGGAGTTGGGTATCTTTGGAAGGTTTTGAGTAGAGACTTGATGTCACTGTAGCTCCTGACCCACAGAAGCCCAACGGGGAGATCTCTAGTTGATTCCCCACTCAGAACAATGCCAAGTACTGCTTTCAGCTACTCAGCAGAAGCATGCAGATTAAGTTTTGGTTTATTGTTCTGTCTTTCCTGGGCGCCAAACATAAGCTTCCCTCCTGTGGTCTGCTGGGAATCTTCAGCTGGCTGTGCATTGCCTTGTGTTTTTTTCTCACATGGATTCTTGGCCAGTTCTCAGGTAGTTAGAGAGGCACTTGGAGGGTTTACTCACCAGCCTCAAAGCTCAGGGCACACACCCCTTTCCTTACTTCCAACAAAACTTTCCTCCCACCTCTGCCACTCTGAAGCCCTCAGTGGCAGTAAACAAGCCAATTATGGAGTAAAACCCTCCTAGGCCAAAGGGAGTGAGGAGGCAGAAAGGGAAGCTCTTTATAAAGGAATGGGGGAGGGGAGGGAGCTCATCCTAAACCCTGGGGCTTTGCTTCATTTCCTATAGGTAGAGCTCCTGCTGGCTAAGGCCTTTGAGGCCCACCCTGGGCTCGAAGTGACTTCTGAGCCCTATCTGGGAGCAAGTCCCCAAACCTTGTCAGTCATTTCTGGAGCAGAGTGGAGGAGAGCCTGGAACTGGCTGGATCAGTGAGTGATGGAGTGGAATAGGGAGGAACTGGCACTGCCAGCTTTGATCAGAAAAGATGCTCCTCCGGGGGTGGGGGATTGGGACCCTCCCCTTTCCAATTTGACAGACTGAATTTTAGCATCAGAGCTGGGAGCACTTGAGTAACATGAGCCCCAGAAAGAATAAGGCAGCCTCATTGCAGAGGGACTGGAGGACAGTGATACCTGGTGGTAGTGGCCCAGCCTGGGGGACCCTGTTTTTCTCAAGTACTCAAGCGTTGGACAGAAGAGCATTGAGGATCTACGCCCGCTCTCCACCACCCTGCAGCCCCTGGGCCCTGAGTACTTCTCTCCTGTTGCTTGGTCAGCAGCCTGGTTACGACTCACCAGGGCAGCTTCCACCTCACCATCTCTGTGGTCTTTAGGACTGGTACTGGTGACACCCCACCCCAGCAAACACATGTTGTAGGCATCTTTCAGTTCAGATCTAGATCCATCCAGAATGCATTGGTTCCCAGGCTTCCCAGCCCCCATCAGCTGGCAGAGCTCTCAGTAGGGTGGGCGCTTCCTGGGTCTTTGCAGGCTCATCTTTGGACTATCTTGTTAAAAATGCCACTTAAAAAGCTGGAAAACAGGGCCCTCGCTGGTGGCGCAGAGGGTTAAAGCATAGCACCAAGAAGCTAAAGCCACTTCAGCATGAGTTCGATTCCTGCCCCGGAGGCGATCCACATGGCGCGGCAGACCTCCCCTGACCTGCCTGCTGCTCCCCTCAGCCGTGTACTTCGTGGATCTGCCTGTTCTGCTCCCCACTCTCTCTAGTGAATCCTCTCACCGCCCCTACATCTCTGGCCTGTACCCCAGTTCTGTATGCATTAAAAAAAAAAAAAAAGGTGGAAAACAGAGAAGGCTTCTCTTAGGCCAGAGCTCTGATTAACAGAACTCCCCAGTGCTCGTTCAGTCCACTGGACTCTCATCAGAAGCCAGTAGCCTGGGGCCAGCCCTGGAGGTTCCAAGGAGAGGCAGCCGGCTACCAAGTGCAGCAGGAAGCCTGGGAGATGTGAGAGTGATAGGATGGTCAGTCCTGATGACCATACCCTGGGGCTTTACACCATCATTTCCTGGCTCCCAGTCTTGTCTTGCCAGGCTCCCCCACTCCTCTCCCCTCCATTCCCCAGTGTGGCCTCTCCTAGATTATTTCCAGCTGGTACCTACCTTTTTAGGGTGAAGACATCTAGGACATCACAAACAGTATGTGTCTTCAACTTAGAAGATTTTCTTTACAGATCTGGTGTGTGGAAGGCTCTCTTTTAACTAAGAAATACAAGTGAGCAGGGTCAGCCCAGACAGCATTGTGAGCAGCAAGCACCACACTCTGAGCGGGGACCTGCTGGCCTAGCTGAGTGCCTTCCTGTGCCTGTGGGCCCGTTAGCATCACCAGGGTGGTGAGGGCCCTGATTGTTTTCCTTCTCTGGGCATACTCCTCTTTTAAAGTTCTTTAATCACCTCCCTGCCCCAGTATCATAACCTTGCGGGTAGGGATCATGTCCTGCCTGTGTAAATGCTTGTTACACAGCGGGTAAGTGACAGAAGGAAGGGACAAATGAAGGGCTGACGCTCTGCGAGCCTCCTGGCCTGCCTGCCGCTCATTGAACATCTGGGACCATCCCACTCTAGGGCCTTTGACCTGGACTGGCCCTCTGGTTGGAATGTTCTTCCCAGATGTCAGCATGCCTCACCTGCTCCCCTTCCTCAGGTTGCTTCAGTTTCACCTTCTCAATGAGGTCACTGTTTTTAAAACTGTCACTCCCATCTCCTACTGACCTTCCTCATCAGCCCCACCTTGTGCTCATTTTTCTTGTGGCCAGTTTGTGGGCTTACTGTGTTGTTGATTGTCCCACTAGAATGTACATTCCAAAGGACAGGACTTTTTCACTAGTTCCCTAGCCCTAGAACCTAGAACAAGCGAAAGGTTGACATGTGGACAACCCCAATCAAAAAGTCACTGAATGAGTCAATGACCTGTCAGGTTTGAGAGAGAATTAGCCCAATCCCAGAAATGTTAGAATTTTAAGAAACAGTTGGGTGTTGTGCTGTTACCTGGGGGCTTTACATTTTCGGCGGAGGAATTCCTGCAGTGATACATGTATTAGTGGTTTGGATCAGGGGCTGAGAAGCAGATCTTGGAGCTTAATGCGTGATGCACGTGTTCCTTCTCCCTGCCTCGATTTCTCTGGACCTGATCCCTGGGAATGGACATGGTTTCACTCCTTAGTTCACACAAGTCATGCATGTGCTCCTACACACTTCAGGCCGGAGTCAGGGTGAATGTGGGGGCTGAACTTCCCCAGACACTGGGCAAGGAGGGCATAGCCACCTGGCTGTCCCTGCTTCCCAGCTCAGGCAATTACCATTCCGTACTGACTGAACCGCAAACTAGGCAGACCAGAGCCTTGATGTTGTAGCACCCCAGGAGCAAAACCATCTTGCTAGTGAGAGTTTTAAAGCCACTGAGAGAACATGTGATTAGAACTTTGATCTTTCCACTTAAACTTTGCCTAGAACTGTTTGCATTTGAGTTTGTCTCCAGCTTGAAATCTTTAAGCAGAGGTTCTCTGGGTTACTTCTGGCCCGGCTGTATTTTCTCTTCACAGCAGACATTCTCCCAGACCCAGGAGCACAGTCATGAATGTGGGTGCACATGGAGGTGAGCAGCTCAGCCCCCCAGTGAGGCCTAGCTCCAGCTTTCCATTCTGTGCCCCTCCTGTCACATTCATGCCCATCCCAGGGACTTAGCTCATCTTTAATCATTTCATCTTTCTACCCACTTTATACCTATTTTGCCCCCAGTAAGCCCAGCCCCTGGGTGTAAATTCCACTTAGCTTGGCCCCTGACCCGTGAGGTAACCTTGGACTTATTACTGCTCTTTATAGACAGTGGGTTGTAAATTGGCGGGGGAAAGCCAGACATACTCTCCTTAAAGAGTTCTCCCACATTTCCATCTGTTCCACATCATATTTGCCCTACTACTTAATTTTGATTCCTGAAATGACCTTATGAACTCAAGAAAAAACGCTGCATACTTTTTACATTCACTTTTGGTTCCTGTCATCCGATGCATCATAAAGCATTTTATTCCCTCTGTCTGCTAGTTGATTCATTTCAACAACCATCTATTTTTTTCTGTGTGTCAGACACTGCTAGAACTCTTCACAGAACTCGCAGTCTATCACGGAGCCAGACATGTAAATAAAACCTCTGGTAGGTGTAATGGCATCGAGGAAGGCCCAGAGACCTTCGAGATGCTTCTGAGGTCAACGTGACTAGACTCAGTGATCATTTCGAAGCCGGCAGAATCAGGTTCAGGAAGTAGTTGTTAATATCTGAGGTTTCTAGCTTGGGATTCAGATCAATGATGTCATTTAATGGAGGCAGGAGAGAGAAAGCAGAGTTAGTTTGATGAGGATGGGAGGAAAGAGGTGGTGGTGATAAAATGGTGTGACGCTTTATTGGGCTCCTCTGTGCCCAGCATTGTGTACCCCAGAGCTTCTTACACTTGAAGAAGCACCAGAGCTGCCGGGTATTTTATTAAAATACAGATTTGAGCCCTTCCTGGTGGCGCAATGGGTTAGGGTGCAAGCACTGCAAGCTGGCCTCTGCCACTTCCGTGCGAGTTTGATCCCCGGACCCGGAAGTG